TAAGTCAATTAATCTCTCTGTCTCCGTTTCCTGGCATGTAATGTGGGAATGGGCATGAAAGCCCAAGAGGGTGTTGTGAGATTAATTAGTTAAAATGTATACCCTGCTATATAAATGCTAATTGCTGTCAGGAGCGTGGGTTGGATTTTCCAGTGACTTTGCTTTGGGAGGCTTTGCACATTCCATTGGTTCTCGATGCCACCAAGCCTCAGCCTTAAGAAATCCTTTGGCTGAGGAAAACGATGACTTTGTGGCTCCCCATGTTGAGGGCCAATTTAGAGAGGACTTCCACTGTGGAGTCAACTGGGTAAGAAGGGACATTCTACACAAAAGTAATTCTCTGTGCCAATAATTTGCTAAATTCCCTTTGCTGGTATTAGAGACAAATCTATTTGCATAACAGCCTTTTCCCCAGTCTTTTCTTCGGCTGGTGCCTGCCGTGAGTCATATAATACATGACACTCCAGCCTGTTGCCATAGATTTTATTTTTATTTGTTCATTGAATAATTTAAAAGGCTCTGACAAGTGGCTGGCTGGCAAGGGAAACTTAAAAACTCACAGAACAAATTTCAAATGGGAAAATAACCCAAAGAAAAAGCTCAATAAAAATACCTTTTTTTGGCTAATGTTTAGGAATACCGATATGTGTGTTTTCAGTCCCTAATGTAATGGAGGCTGATTCACTTTATAGATATGTTTATTTGGCCCATGGAACATTCTGTAAGGGAGATACCTAGCAGGTGTAATGATCTCTTCTCCACTTTAAGATGAATCACATTATTGATTGAAAAGATATTAAGTCTCAGGAATCAGCCCCAAATCTTGGTGATTGATCTGTATTTGAATTTTAGTATGTAAGGGCCTTTAACAAATGCTATTTTAAAATGTGTCTGCACTTGATTTATTGAGTTATGTTACAAAAGGAAAATCCTGCCTTCTTTTAGTAGTCAAGATAGGTGAAGCTAGTCACTGTAACAACATGTCCCCCAAATCTCAGTGATTTAACACAATAGAAGTTGATTTTTCACTCAACCACAGCCCCCTGAGAAAGCGATGGAATCTCTGTGGAGCTCTGCTCCAAGCAGTGACAGGGATCCAGGCTCCTTCCATCTTGTGAGGTTACCGTATTCAAACTTTTCTGGCCCTCAGGCTCTCCATATGAGGACAGGAGAAAGCGTCAGAGATTATGTTGGGAGTTTCAAGATAAACCATTTCTGGCCTCATTCATTGGCCAGAAACAAATCAAATAGCTCCAGTTCAGTTGCTAAGGATATCTAAGTAGTCCCCAGCCAGGGTTCATGAATACCTACCCAGTGTCTGCCACATCTACCCTTGTGGTCACCAAAGTTCCATTTGGTGGGATGTCACACTAGCTTGTGGCTGGGATGTCCCACCAGCTCTCTGTTGTCTCCCTTTCCACAATGTGCATTCTCCTACTTTTACACAAGAAAAATTGACCTGTCACTTGTCATCTATCTTACTATTAATCATGCCCAGGACTGTAAAGACCTCCAGGGACCAAACAAAGTGACAATTTGCAATATTGGTGTCAGGAAGTCTCCTTTAATCAAAGTACCATTAGCCCTCAGAAGGGCTTCCTCTTTCTCTCCAGTTTTCCAGTGTTCCTGTTAAGGGAGTCATGGCGTGAGACTGCTGTCTCCTGGCCCAAGTTGGGGCGATCTGAATTGAGATATATTAGAGAGTAGGGTTGTAGGAAGGACGATCATTTTCATTTAATCACCTTGCCTCTGCCGTCATCCAGATTTGGACAAATGGTGCAGAGCTCTTGAGAGAGGTGCCTTTAGGAACAGCATAAAGAATATTTTTATGCAATGCAGAAGGCGGTAGCATCTTTGTCATTCAGATAACAAACAATATGGTGAAGTTCCAGACACTGTCAGCTGCCCAACTGTCTGTCGTTCTCTTTTTCTTCTAAACTATCACCTTGTGATTCAACAGTGAAATGACTGCTGTGCCAAAGCATATTGATAGAAAATTAAAAAATGAAATCAAGGCTTTTTTTTCCTAACAGAGAGTAAATATGATCAGGGTGGTTAAACACTGAGAATGGCTTTGCCAATTGTGTTGCATGATAGATATGCCCTCCCTCCCTTACTGCCTTCCTTTTTTTTTCTTAATTATTATTTTAATGATGTTCAAAGGAAATCATTCACGGAGATTTTTTTTAAGGCCAATGTATTAAAAGGCTTATACAAAAAAAACTGTACTCTTTCTTCCTTAACTTTCCTCACATCCGTTAGCTCTCTTCTTCAGAAGCCACCACTTTTAAGTATTTTATTTATTTATTCTGGCATTTCCTATCTATATTTTGCTAATCAATTTGTGTATATTGCTATTTTTCATTTAGTCAACCCTGGGCATTATATTGTTCACTTTTTAATTATATTAAATGAGATTTTTTTTCTCTCTTAAATAGCCATCCCCTCTCCTTAACTTACCCTTTCCTCTCTATCTACTAATACGATATTTGGTTAAATCAATAATTAATATGCCTTCACATATTAATGAACTGTGATTATGTTGACTTTCTTATTTTTGGAAGTTACTAATTTCCTTGCCTTCATATGCTTACTTTAATTTGGACCTTTTGGGTAACTGTTTTCATACTTTACAATTGCCTTTTAGCATAATTTTCCACAGTGCTAATTTCATCAGATAATTCATTAGTTAAATTATCATTTTTTTAACTGGAGATTTCCATTACCTTCTATTTACACTTGTTCACCCTAAACCCTGCTGCATAGCTGTTAGCCTGAGATCTCTTTCATTGTTATTCTGCGGATTTCCTTCCCCTCTCTCTTGAACTGGATCCCCTCTTCTTCGATTCCATAATTTGCTTTTTTTCCCCCTCTCAGTTTGGTAACAAGTCCCTCAGAAGCCTCCTGATAAAGAGCATATGGGAAGGAAAATTACTGAGTCTTGATGTGTCTGAAAATGCCACCTTCACACTTGATTGTTTCCTTGGGTTTAGATTCAGGATTGGAAATAATTTCCCTTCACCTATATTGCTTCATTTTTTTTTATTATGTTATATTAATCACCATACATTACATCATTAGTTTTTGATGTAGTGTTCCATGATTCATTGTTTGCGTATAACACCCAGTGCTCCGTTCAGTATGTGCCCTCTTTAATACCCATCACCAGGCTAACCCATCCCCCCACCCCCTCCCCTCTAGAACCCTCAGTTTGTTTCTCAGAGTCCATAGTCTCTCATGGTTCGTCTCCCCCTCCTATTTTCCCCCCTTCATTTTTCCCTTCCTGCAAATAATACATTATATGTTAAAAAAAAAAGAAGATAGCTTCATTATTTTCTAGCTTCTAGTCTTGTTTTTTGAAATTTCCACAGCCGTTCCAATTCCTGTCTTTTGTATGTGATCATTTTTTATCTCCTTTCTTACTCTTTGGTAGTTTTTAAACTCTTCTCTTTTTCCACAATTTTAGAAAATATTTTTGTGGGGTAAGTCTGTTTCCATCAACTTATTTAATTGATGGTTCTCTTCTGTTTTGTTTTGTTTTTTTTTCTTCTTTTGCTGTATGTCATCTACATCAAGGGACCCAAGCTAAAGGAGGCTTAGTCTCTGTGCTTTTATATTTGCCAGGGCAGAAGAAAATGGAGCATGATAAAATATGCTCTAGCCCTTAAGATAATCAACATAAGTGACACTCACTACATCATATTGGCCAAACTTGGTAACATGGCCCTTCCTCCAGAGGGGCAGAAAAGCAGATTCTTACAATATGCCTAGGAAGAGAACCCAGAGATATTGGGCTAATGGCAATGGTGATTCCTTATCTTGGGGTTGGCAGTTCCTTCTGGGTCTTCCCAGTATTCTGAAATGCACATGGGTGTGCTCCCCAGCTTTCCCCTGCTGGTTTAGGATTTACCTATTTAAATGGGCTGAACTGGTTACAGCTTGTCAATTTTGATGTTGTTACTATCTTTTCTCCTATTTTTGCTCTTACTTGGGGTTATGTCTTGAAAAAATTATTTTAGTTTTAGTGAAGTTTCAGAAAGGAGTGAAAATGGTTGTATATATTCAGTATGACATATACATCTGGAAAAACTGTGGTTGTAATTTCCTATAAACTGAATAAGCTGATTCTGCAACTTTGTAGCTTTAATGAAAATGTATTTGAAGAATCTGGTAAGATAGATGTTTTATTAAAAAAATTACTATCATGTTTGTGTTGGTGTGAACAACATTTTGATCTTCCCAATTCTTTCTTTGTATATTGGATTTTAAAAGGTGTTTCTTACTAAAAGCATAGCAATTATAAATAATAGTAATTTGCTGAGACTTGGAAAAGCCAGTTTGTTAAATTTCTCAGAGATCTATTACTTACCTAGGGATTTATTGCTTACGAATCCTTCTGCAAGTCATAAAGCTTCAAATTCTTTGCTTTTATCAAAATTAAAGTAACCACAAATTTAGTTGTTCTCTCAATTATCTGCTGCCACAAAAACGTTGCCTTAATAAGCAACCATAAAGTTTAGTGACATACTTCATTTTATTTATTACATATGTAGTTTTGCTCTTGAGTCTAGGATGTAGATATCTTTGCCTGGGCAGATCTAGCCCCCAAATCAAGAGACCTGGGAAGAACTGAGAGTCTTGGAGGGTTGTCTTTTCAGTTATAATTTTCCCCTCAGAACCTCGTCTGTCTCCAGAGGGTGAAAGAGCATATGACTGCTTTTTCAGGTGAGATTCTCCCCCATACCTTATAGGGTATGACAGGATCAAGTTTTCAGATCAAATCATTATCCAAGAGGTAATGAAAAGATGATAAAGGAAGGTGGAGAAGTCATTTCTTCATGCCACAGGGGCCTACTCCCATGCTATTATTACAGAGAGGCTACTGAGCATAGCCAGACAAGGGGGTTTCTGGAAAAAATTGGGTGTCCTGAGGTGTGTTTTCTCCAGGTCTTTAACATGAGATGACTCACTGGCCTCATCTTTCTTTTTGGTCATTCCAGAACGCTGTGATGATTGGGGACTTGATACCATGAGGCAGATCCAAGTGTTTGAAGATGAGCCAGCTCGCATCAAGTGCCCACTCTTTGAACACTTCTTGAAATACAACTACAGCACAGCCCACTCGGCGGGCCTTACTCTGATCTGGTATTGGACGAGGCAGGACCGGGACCTGGAGGAGCCGATTAACTTCCGCCTCCCTGACAACCGCATCAGTAAGGAGAAAGACGTGCTCTGGTTCCGACCCACCCTCCTCAATGACACGGGCAACTACACCTGCATGTTAAGGTAGCCTGATTCTTGGTGATGACTTTCTCTTTTCCCTTTAGTTCCTGGATGATGCATCAGCGGAAGGGAAGAAAACATCTGGGAAGAGTTACACCTCACCTCAGTGGATTAGCAGAGGTTGCCTAAGAGGTGTGCAGAGAAAAATGGTTGTACTCCTGAGAACTTTCTCCATAAGTGGTTCCTTTTCAAACCCTGACATATATCATGATTATCTAATGATGGAGCCTTGTTTATTTGTGCCTTTTCCCTGATATGAGAACCTGCCTGCATTTCTGCCCCACCTGAAAGCATGTATTTCCCTAGACAATGAGCAGGGTGGAGAGCAGAACCCATTCATTTCTGTTATTCTTGGCATCTTTCGAGGTCCCTGACACAGAAGAAAGCCTTAGGATGCCTTATGGAAGAAAGAATATTTGGGAGATATCAAATGTATTTAGAACAATGCCTTTCAAACTTTTTCACCAAAATTCCCCTACAAAGCAAATAAACACCGTATCACTGGGAATCTAAGAATATAATCCAAAGAACCCCACCAATACTGCAAAATTTCTTTCAAATCCACTTTGTTTAATCTTGAAAATTCATGTAGATTTTGCATTTTACTCCATAATATACATATTCTTCTATTACCATGGATTAATACTGTTTTTGCTCTGAAAAGAAAAAAAAACTTTAAAAAAACTGAAGCGCCTCTGAAGAATAATCATTTTTGAGGCTTGATCTTTGGCTACTTTTTTTCCCAAGGTCCCCTTTTAGCTTCCAAGCCTTACTTTGTTTTTTAAATTCCCATCTGGCTTATGGATTATGAGTGTTTTTGTTTTGTTTTTACACAGTTTCCTGCTGTTTAATAGGAGCAGTAGTTTGCTAGGGCTACTAAAACAAAACACCACAGACGGTGGCTTAAATACCAGAAATTTGTGTTCTTGCAGTTCTGGAGGCTAGAATTCCAAGATCAAGGTGTTGGCAGGGTTGGTCTCATTTTTCTCTCCTTGGTTTGTGGATGGCCATCTTATTTCCATGTCTTCACATGGTCTCCCCCCGAATCATCTCTGTTCTAATCTCCTCTTTTATAAGCACACCGGTCATTTCGGATTAGGGCCCACCATTCTCATTTTACCTTAATTACCTCTTTCAAGACTTGTCTCCAAATACGGTCACATTCTGAATTACTGGAGTTTAGGTATTCAACATATGAATTTAGGGGACTCAATTCAGCCCATAACAATAGGGCTGAATGGTACAACAATACAACAGCATAGAATAACATAACAATAGATAATTTCACACCATCTTCTGAATGCCCCTTGTCTCTCATGGTTATGAACTGTTCTCTGATGGAGAAATGTGACTACCTTTTGATATATTTAAGCTGTGTTACGATTAAATGAAAAAGGACCTCTTCTCTGTCACAGAAAGCATTTTCATCACTGTGTCCTTGGGAGTCCCTTGGAACCTCTGAAGGCCCTTTTGAGGTTTTCACCCAACTCTTTAGTTTTTTGGGAGTGGACTCTAGACTAGAGCGTGTCTTCCAAAGAGCCCCGTGTCCACTATTTATGTCCCAAGACAGCTTTGTAGGAGAGGTTGGGACAGATTATAGTGGAAAGAGCACTGGATGAAAAGACACAGAAACCAGGCCATTATCCCAGCCCTGACTCTACTCAGCTGGTGACCTTAGGCACATCAGTCTGTGTCTGAGAGCTTTGGCATCTGTATCCACCCAATGAGAAAATCAGCCTAAATGCTCCTTGAGTTCCTTTCCATCTTTGGCAGCTGTTAATCCGTTAACATTCCATAGGTGGACATCAGGAAGTAGCTGGGAAGGCGTCATCAGTAGTTTTCTGGATGACCTTGTTCTCTACTCTGCATTTTAGTGTTTCATTAACTCTATTTCTGTTTCCTACTTGTCTAGAGCTCTTCCTCAAACTTTTCTAACCTTCTTTTACATTACGGGAGCAGTGTGGCTGTTAAGGCCTGAGTATTCCTTTAATGTGATTTATCAGTTTCCAAATGGCCATCTCTTCAGTTTACCTGTCGGCCTATCTTCTATGTCCCTAAAGAAAATCTAGAAGCAAACTTGTCTGGTGGGGACACCAGAAGCTTCCCACAGCCCTGAAGCAATTCCTAAGTGGAGAATGACCTTAAACTGAACCATGTAGAATCAGAGGCCTGATGTCTTTAAGGCCATAAATTAAGAGTCATCCTCCAGGACTGTACCACTTGTATTCTTGCTTCAATACCCCTCTGAGGATAACATCCAGATTTTACCTTTGAAGCCACTAAAATCAGTCCCACCACTGTTCATTATTTTTTTTTAAGTCAGAGAATATATCTTATGAAGCTGAAAATTACCCTCTGTATAATTTCCACCTGTAGGATACTTCTTTCACATGGTAGACCTTTTGCTATTTTTAGGTGGTGATTATAGCTGCCACTCTCCCTTCTCACCTTATTACCATTGTCATAAGTCATCTTTAAATGTCCCCTCTTGGGGAGGGAAATGCATCCCCCCATTTCATTGTATTTAGTCTCAATTAATTAGTTAATGAGTATCTATGTATTTGGCACCTTAATTTTTATTTATTTTATTTATTTATTTTTTTTTATTTTTCTTAAAGATCTTTATTTATTTATTTAACAGAGATAGAGAGCACAAGTAGGCAGAGCAGCAAACAGAGGGAGAGGGAGAAGCAGGCTCTCCGCCGAGCAGGGAGCCCGATGCAGGGCTTGATCCCAGGACCCTGGGATCATGACCTGAGCTGAAGGCAGCCGCTTAACTGAACGAGCCGCCCAGGCGCCCCTATTTTTTTTTTTTATTTTTTTTTAAAGATTTTATTTATGTATTTGACAGAGAGAGACACAGCAAGAGAGGGAACACAAGCAGGGGGAGTGGGAGAGGGAGAAGCAGGCTTCCCGCTGAGCAGGGAGCCTGATGCGGGGCTCGATCCCAGGACTCTGGGATCATGACCTGAGCCAAAGGCAGACGCTTAACGACTGAGCCACCCAGGCGCCCCCGTATTTGGCACCTTAAATAGACATCACAAAAAAGGGTAGACAGTGAATGACCCATTTACCCATCACCCTAAAAAATCAGTTATTTTTATTATCTGTGTTCCCTTATTGTTTTCTTATGCATAGACATAGATTTTACATCCATTCCATTCGTTTAAGAAACATTTAGTTGGTGCCTACTGAAAGTATAGACACTGTACTACATGCAAGGAGCAAAAGAAGACACACATGGTCATGACCTGTTTGAACTGTATAAATTCAATCAAGGAAATTTTCGAGGTGCTCAGAGAATGAGAGACCTAATTTAGAAATGGGGTGCATGAAGGATGACATGGAAAGCCTCCATGTGGAAGGTGGGCTGATGGGAGGAGAAGAGCCCCGAAGCAGACTAAATGACCTGTGTAGACATTCAAACATAAATGAAATTCTCCAGGCACCCTAAAATGTAAATATTTTAGTATACCAACAGTATGAATTGTGTCTGTTTTTATTTTGTGACGTCAAATTGGTATGGGAAATACCTCCATAATACATTTTTTTAATAGGGAGTTGCTATTTTATTGATTTATTTATTTATTTATTATTTTTTTAACTTTTTTTATTATGTTATGTTAATCACCATACATTATATCATTAGTTTTTGATGTAGTGTTCCATGATTCATTGTTTGCGTATAACACCCAGTG